GCAAATCTGTCCAGCTTTTTCAGTCTTCAAAGGACCCGCCCACGTAGACCGCGAAGGCCGGGTCCTCAGGAGGATGCAGCCTATGAATTTGGACACAGCTAATAACAATGCAATGCCATGTAATCGCCATGGTAATAAGGCTACTGTCACGGGTCGCCACTGATGGTAGCTCTGCTAATTGGAAGTTTTATACCAACTAGGGATCTTTGACTGTATGTGATTACCATGGTAACAGGAAAGAGCTTGATATGAATCTTGTAATATCAGGTGTGGGAATGTTAGTCACCGTCTGATTGACAGTTTTTATCAGGTGGCCCCGAGTGTCAGGTGTGCAGCAGCATGTTTAGTTGACCGATGATGGTAAGTTCTCCAGCAGGAGGCGTTCGAGCCGCCACACGTTGGCAGCTCAGTGACGCTCTGTGTTGGATTTCTAAACAGGCTAAGAAGCTAGATCTTCTGGTGTCTCAAGCTAAAGAGTCCAAAGCTGGTCATGCTGTTACCACAGCGCCCCCACATGACAGAGAAAAGAAACTGCTGTATGTAGATGCTTGTGATTAGTTACAGAAAAAACACGACTGGACAAATCATAGAAAGAAACTCATTTATTGATAGTTAAATAGTAAAATAAAGTTTTCTTTTAAGGATATGTTGAACTGTTTTGAGGTGAGACGAGCAGCCGCACAGGAGTCAGGGAGGCTTTCACAATTTAAAATTAAATGAATCTGTCAGACTGAAGGGAGACATGACTTCACATCAGCACAAAACTCTTTCACATTATCACTGAACTCTACAGAAATAAAAACAAAGCTCTGACGGTACATCTAGACCACATTAAGTCATACAGTCACATTTTAAAGTTCACAGGTGTCTTTATATCAGGGGTGTCAAACAGGAGGCTCGGGGGGCCAAAAGTAGCCCAGCAAAGACTCTAATTCGGCCGGTGGAACAAGTGAAGGAAGGCATACATTTTGCCCTTTGAACTGTATTTCCATAAGTTTGCAGCTTTTCTTACTGATAACGACGTCCACCATCCACATTCATACTATAACACAGAAATAAAATAACAGAAAATCAGTTTGAGGGCAGAAAAGTTCTTTTTTTCAATAATGAGACTACAGTAAAAGTTTTCTGTGAATTAACAAAAACTTGGTGTTTTATAAGTACAGTGTGAGGAATGAGCTCTCTGAACATTTAAGCCCAAAGAGTCAGGCTGGCAGGTTTCTTTCTTTCCTGCAGCTGCTTTTATTTATCACGTAGAAAAACTGAGCTGTACTGTGCAGACTGCCCTTCTTGGTCTCATATGAACACATGTCAGGGATTAAATATGTACTTAAGCTTCTTTACGCTGACAGAAAGGCCACTTTCACTGGTCCGGGCCTTTGAACACAGGGTGGGCTGTATGTGGCCACAATGCAAACTGAGTCTGACACCCCTGCTTTACACCTTTATCCAGCAGAAACTGACAGTTTGACAAAAACAGCTTTAAAAATCTCTTCAAAGGGATCAAATCTGCATCATTACCTCACATGAAAATACAAATAAATAAAAACATGAACAATATCTCAAAGAAATATAGTGAAACTAAAACATTTCTTCACATTCATTCTCCTCTCTTCATTACTTTTTAGTCTCTTTAAAGCTAATTCATGTGCAGCTTCTTCATATTGTGCATGTGCCCAATACTGTCCTGTTTTGCATAGTTTAACATTTGATTCCTTCACAGCTTGAGGGGGTCGGACCGCTCTCACATCGCTCTGCTAAATGTGGAGCCATGAAGCTGTTTGCTTAGCTGAGCAGAAAAAGGTGCGTCTCTGTAAAGGCTCACAGCGTTTCTGCCAGGATCCAAACCAAGTCAGCTTTAGAGGATTTTCAGCCACTTGTTCCGAGCTCGAGCATCCTGACTTTTACTCTGCTGCAGGTCAGAGACCTCACCAGCTTTTTACTGCTCTGCATCCATCTGACAACAACATTAGTCACATTAAAAACATATTTATTTGAAGTCCCGACAGTAAGTATGGACTCTTCAGTGCATTTACATGATGCTGTTACTGACCGTGAAACAGTCGATCAGCTGACTGTCTCTCTGCTTCTTCTTTGGTAAATGAAACATACTAAAATCTTTCCTTGGACTCATCGTTGCATTAAAACTCGAGGCTTCGTGCTCAGCTAAGCTAACGTCTCCTGGCCTCAAATTTGCCCAAATGTTGAACTATTCATCTTCTGTTCACGCTTCCAGCCGCTCTGGCATAAAGTGAAGCTACAGCGGCACTCTGCTTTAGTGGCATTTCACATTAATCTGCATGTGCAAACTACTCAAAAAATACAATAAAATACAACAAAATAAATACTAAAGTGTGAAAGCACATCCTCGTGTCTTTGGTGAAGTCTCTGTGCTTCAGAGGTTAAACCTGCAGGTCTCACAGTTTTAACCGTGTGAGGAAAAAGAGACTTTTTAATTTTAAAAAAACATGGGAAGAAATCTCACTTTCTTTGGAGTTTCTGGTCTGTTGGTTGGACGTTTACTGAAAGGTGGAAACAAGCTGCTTTCAGACGAGTTATTCCAAGAAATAATCAAAAAACCTGACTGACTGCAGTCCTGCCTGATTTAAGTCACTCATTAAACTCTACAGAGCAGACTGATGCTCGGACGGATGATGGATCCGTCTTCATCACAACTCAGTTTTACCCTCCTAAGACCCAAACTCTGTCATGGCATGCATTTTTAATTTCTCTTTGCTATTTGGGCTGATTGGGACCTGATGGATGTAAAAACAAAGAATTACCTGTTTTGTTTTTGTTTTGGGTTTTTTACCTGATTTTTGTTTCTGAGAAAAATTAGATCCACATATGAGGACATTCATTTTAAATTTCGATAGAACAGTGGCAGTATAATGTCCTTGTTAGTGGATATCAGGCCCTTGTAGAGCAAAATTGAGTATTTTGGTCAAGACGACCCAAAATGCGATGTCCACATATGTGGACGCCAGGTCCTAGGAGGTTAAACAAAAAGAAGTCACCACCAGTTTTCACTTGCAAGTAACGTCTGAATGACGAAGGAAAGTTACAGGTAGTTGGAGATAAAGTGCTATATTAAATAAGCTTGATATGTATTTGCACAAAGCAGCGCAGCAGCTGTAATAGTTTTCTGTCACACAGCAAAGGTCTGAGGCTCTTTGAGGACGTGAAGCCTCTGAGTCTGTCTGCGCTTTAGTGTTGGTGCTGTTTATGATTAAGACTCCAGAATGACCGATCACGGTTAGTTTCTCTCAACTATCCAGGCCAAAACGGGCCTGGATAGTTGCTGACATATTGTGGTGTGGACTGGCAGCTTCAGGACAGAAAATCTTCTACTACTACTTACAGAAAACATTTTCACATGCAGGCAGAAAGCTGTGATAAATATTCTTATAGTGTAAGTGAAGGTGCTGCACAGCTATAAATGGCCTTCAGTGTGAGTAAAGCTTAGTTTCTCAGATCACTTAGTAATTTTGGGCCTTACACAAGTGCAGCCCACCGGGACTTCGATACGCGTCTTCTGGACTCGATATGTGTCTGCGTCCTTACACTTGGTCTTCATCAGGACCACCATCGGAGCCCGAACCTCCACAGAGTTGTAGTCGTTCACCTCGTGCCCGTCGATGATGCATCCCTTACAAAGGCACTCGGCAAAGATGATGTCACGTGGATACCTGCTGTCGTTTCGGTCTATGCTGGAGACACAGACAGACAGAAAAGACCTCAACACGTGCAGGAGACAGTGAACACACAGCAGATTCAGTCAGGACAATACGCGGCTTCTCAAATCAAAGCTCGTTTAATATTAAAGCTGGTAGCTTTCATCTGCTCGCTGGTTCCAGGTTGAACTTCCTGAACCAGCTCAGCAGCCGTCCATCCATTTCTACTCCGCAATAATCCAGCCTGCTCTCTGCACATCCAAACTTTGGATCAGCCACCACCAGAGATGGGCAGTAACGCGTTACTTGTAACATCCACCATACCTGCTGCTGAACCAAAGCATGATGTATACCATGTTGGTAAATAAATAAAGAATTATTAAATATGTTCCAATTCAAATTGATTTTAGCCAGAATAACGCGTTATCGATTCATTAAATCCTGAATCTATTTTTGTCAGTCTCTGACCAAAATTCACTGAACCAGCAGCAAAAAAAGTTCCAAGCTACACTTCACATTTGTAAAACATCGTCACTGTTTCTCTCTTACTTTGACTGTTTTGCTTCCACCACGATACGATCTCACTTCCTGCACAGCTCTGTCTCTCTAAGTGTCCTTCAAGAACAGTTTCCCATCTCAAATCTCTGTTTTCTGCATTATTTGCTGCTTATTACGCACCAGTCTACCTGTGTGTTCAGTGCAGTCAGCCTCTGACAAGAAAGCCTGTTCAGTGCAGAAATGTAAACTTTTTAAAATGATGCCAAAACTCTTAGCTGAGTCTCTAATCAAACCTCTGGAACTCAGCAGCATCAAGTTCAGAAGCTGATTCATGGTTTTCTTCCATTTTTGATTGGCTGCAGAATATTTTTAAGGTTATCTGTTAGAAAAAGACAGACCAGGAAAATCTCCTTTATGTGTTTCTGTTTTAGCCTCAGTTACTTTGAGACAAACGCATCTGTTGTGATGCCCACAGCTCTGATGAAGTGTCAGCCTTGTTTTTATACAGAGATTGAAAAAAATATAGAATTAGAATATTTCTGACTGTCAGTCAAAATTCAGTCGAATCGATGATAGAAATTTGCAACAATACCCAACATTCAAACTTTCATTCAAACAGTAATGAGTGAGAGAATGAGCATTTTTGTCCCTCTGCGGGTTCCATACTTACTAGTAACGCCACGGAGACAGCGCGCGGCCGTTGAGTTCGTGCATTTGCTGGGCAGCCTGTTCGCAGGTGGTGAGCTCCTGGTGCTCGCGGGCGTCGCGCTGAAGGTCGAGCTTCTTCAGGTTGACGTCAAACTTTCGCTCGCGGGCCTCCACCTTCTCGGCGCTGAGACACCTGGAGGCGGCCGGGCGGAGCTCGTGCATTTGCTGGGCAGCCTGTTCGCTGGTGGTCAGGTTCTGGTGCTCGCAGGCGTCCACCATCTCGGCGCGGAGCTCGTAGAGGATCAGCAGAGAGAAATGCAAAGTGGCAGAAACAGTCAGAGAGAGCTTGGCGTGATTGGCCATCTTGACTTCGGACGGCTGAGACTGGCGCCGCTCCATTGAAGCTGCTTTAAATACGGTAGCGGAGCTCCTACGGCTGCCCGGTTGCCATGGGGATCTCCTCAACATTTCCTCACGACAAACAGTCCACGTGCGGCCCCGCCCCTCTGCTGGCTGTGCGCTGTGTTTGTGACCGCGAGCAGACAGCCTCGTACCTCTAATAAACTCCGCCGTGAGCTCTTTTAAACATTTCACACGTTTCATTGTTGGTTTGTTTTTTTAAAGGTAGAGACAGATGTTTATGTTTTACAGAAAAAGGTTTTATCGCCTGAAACGTGAATATTGTCAGGTTTTCTGCAACTGCTGCTGTTCTGATCCTCAACAGTACATCTCAGTGTTTACATGTGTTTACACAGTTTTTTTTGTTAATTCTGTGGAGCTGAACACTGCGGCTTTACACAAGACTGAATACAGCTAAATCTGACTTTCTGTAGCTTTTTATTAGCAGTGACTTTATTTATTGTTCACATGTTGATAGTTTCATGTTGACTTTTGGCAAAATGCAGTGACAACAGATCTTTGACTTTAATGTGTTTCTTTTTGTTGTTCCCTTTTTATTGACCTATTGACCTATTCAAGGCTGTAATAACCTCATGCCAAATAATCTATTTTGCAATTAATGTTTGGAAAATATTGGATATTATGGGTCTCCCCCCCCCCCGAAGTTGTTTAAAAGATGTGATGTGGAAAAAAATGAAAAATTAATTCATATATGAATGATAATGCTATATCACCTGTTGGATGGGGACCCGTTTGGGTCCCGAGGGTAAACAGTGGATGTAAATTTTAAAAACTCGTATTGCTCCAAAAATAATAATGCATCCAAATCAATTTTGTTATCAATTATTGACCTATTCAAGGCTGTAATAACTTCATGCCAAATATTTTACTTTGCAATTAATTTTTGGAAAATATTGCATATTATGGGTCTCCCCCCCAAAAACAGGGGTCCTTATGACACTAAAGCCATAAAAACTTTAAAAGATGTGATGTGGAAAAAAATGAAAAATGAATTCATATATGATAATGCTATATCACCTGTTGGATGGGGACCCGTTTGGGTCCAGAGGTTAAACAATGGATGTAAAGTTTGAGGGATGCTGAAGGGTTAAACGTTTGCAAAATGTATTAAACTAGGGTGACCAACCGTCCTCTTTTTTCTGCACTTGGTGATTTGTAAAAACCTTTATAACATTTTTTATTTCACCATTCATTAACTGCACAGAGACGGTACCGTGTAAATATGTTAAAGTTTTCTTTAAGAAAACAGTATTATTAAAGTTCTTCATGACTGGGCCAAGTGTCCTCTTTTTTGGAAATCAAAATATGGTCACCCTAATTAAACGGTCGTCATGACCTGTCAGTGAACACGCTGCTGTAATTTTACAAGATAGCAAGCAAGCAATTTATTAATATAGCACTTTCAAAACAGATCTCAGCTGAAAACAAAGTGTTGTGCACATGACATAACAAATAACAAAATGAAATAGTATATGTAAAAAAAAGCAAATTCAATCAGACAAAAACCATAAAAGGTCCGGGTCAGACTGTGTCATAAGCCAGGGAGTAAAAGTGATTTCTGAGTAGGACTTTAGAAGTGGACAATGATGGAGCACGAAGAAGCTCAGAGAGATAAGGTGGAGCAAGACCTTTAAAACATTTAAAAACAAGCATTAAAATTTGAAAATGAACTCATGCAGCCAATGGAGTGAAGCCAGGATAGGAGTTATATGCTCTCTCTTACAGGTTCTGCTTAGAAGTCGTGCAGCAGGATTTTGGACCAGCTGCAGACGGAGATGCAGAAGAAAGGAATAAAAATAAATGTTTTTTCCAGTTTTTCTTACAGGTGTTTTGGTTCAGGAACAACACAAAGTGACTTTTTGAATATGAACACATGAACATGTGCCCACCCCAGTCAGAAATGCAGATGTTGTCATTTGCAGCCAGATGTGTGCACTTTCATTTATTACAGTTATTCTTTGCAAAAATTAATCACTTATTTGAAAAACTAGACATGCTTAAACCAAAAGAAATTTTGCACAAAACTTACATATTTCGTGGGCCTTGCAAGTGGGTGGAGCACAATGGCCTCATCGCACCGCTTATAAAACTGCAGAAGCTTAGCCCCACCGCTGTGTTTCAGGTAGGGCGCTATCGCTGTTGCTCACACATTTAATTCAACTTGGCACTGCCATTGTGGTACATTGCATCATTTGCATGACTCCTTCAGGCTGTGTCATTTAAGAGAGTGAAACTGTTTTTTATTGGCTCATTTATTGTTAGCTGTTAGACCTTGAGACACAGGTGACATCAGTTCCTGGGTAGACCCATCCCCTGCAGCTAATTTTAGATCCCAGAGTCATCCTGCTGAGTTCACCTTTAGGAATGTGGACTCCTCCCACATATTTGAAAAGCACTCCTTGTTTTTATACTGCACTGCAGTAAATGTCACAAAGGAAGTAAACAAACCTTTAGCATTTATGGTGAAAATGAGTCACCCGCTGTGGGTGTGCACATGACTGATTTTACATCCTGAGGTTTTAGGCTGACCAACGTGGTCAGAATCTCATTTGTGCCAAAGATAATAGTACCACCGTCCAATAGGAGTGTGCTCCAGGTGCTGAAGTAGATGTGAGAATTGGAAAGCAGGAAGATTGATTACGCACAGGAAACAGGGAAACACACAGGGCTCCCACTGCAGCCCCCACCCCTCTGCCCTGTCAGGAAACCCCCATCTGTGCCTGAGCTCAGAGTAACACTGTTGGGAATGCGTGCCTCTCTGATATCAGTGCGAAATGTTCTCACAGACCTAAGATGTCATTCAGCGCTATCCATTCCTCACATACATCCAGTTGAAGAAGCATCCAATGATTATCTGTGAGAAATGACTGATTGGTAAAAAGGAAAAGGTTACATCATGTTTTGGCCTGAAAGCTTCTGAGCCGATGCTGAAACAGTGCCGTTGAAGGTGAGTGATAATCTGTCACTCACAGTAGATTCAGATGATAATGCAGCCCTGAATCTGTTGGACCTCAGAGCTGCTGCCTTCTTCGCCTCAGACACTGGGTTGGCATTGAGGCTGCAGCTCATCACTGGTTCAGTTCTCACTTTACGGGGAACACTGGGATCCATCCTGGGACCAGTCGTCTTGTAACCGTGTCTGCTTCCATTTGGTGATACCATTAGGAGATTAAACATCTGCTTTCATTTCTATGCTAATGATTTACAGCTTTAAACCTCAGGGTTCATTACAACCTCTACCAGGCTGTCCACTAATAACGTCCTCTAGTTAAGGTCCGAACTCTTCCACAGCAGCATTTTTAATTTCTCTTTGATATTTGGGCTGATTGGGACCTGATGAATGTAAAAACAAAGAATTACCAGATTGTTGTTTTTTTTACCTGATTTTTTTTCTGAGAAAAATGAGACCCATATATGATATTTGTTTAGAATTTCGATAGAACAGTGGCAGCATAATGTCCTCGTAAGTGGATATCAGGCCCTTGTAGAGCAAAATTTAGTATTTTGGTCTAAATAACCCAAAATGTGATGTCCACATATGTGGACGCAGGTCCTAGGAGGTTAAACAGTGACAAAACTGAGGTCCTCTTCCTTAGTCCTTCCACGTCTTGAAGTAGGCTATATGAATGCAGCTTGTTAACTTAGCTAGAACAGTACAGTAAGATGCAGCTTAAAGCACCTGAAGTGGCTGAATGAGCTGAGCATCCAGACTTCATGATGTCAGAGAGGGTGGATATTCCAAATGCTGATGAAATGAGGGGCTGCTCATCAAAAGCTGCACAGAATTAGGATCTGGAACCGTTAAACACAACCAGCTATGCCTTGACTTTACATCTGAACCGTTTCCACACTTCAGTCAGAAACAGACTGAGTTACTTATTTTGCACGTGTGATTTTGACTTTTAACAGCAGTTTTCCTGCTGGAGGCTCCCATTCACTGGTTGTTATTTACCTTGCTGAATGTGTATTTGTCAGTACTGTTTGAAGCAGTGGCGGTTTGCTATCGCCCATTTGCTGGGAGTAAGGGCGCCGGGGGCGGGGGACCTTCTCTGACCGGCTGGAGCAGCATCTAATAACCAACTCGCAAAATAAAACAAAATAAAAACAAACCAACAACCACGAAAACACCAGACATCATGATACAGACTTATAATTTGCACCGATGTTTTTTCTATAGAGAAAAGTGAGCGCGAGAGCCCTCGGTGCGCCTGCTCGCTGCTGAAGTCAAAGTAAACTTTATTGTCATCTCCGCTACATACAGTCCAGTATAGAGAGACGAGACGACGAGGCTCCAGTTACAGCAGTGCAAGGAAACAAACAATAAATATCAGAAGAGTAAGAAAATAAATCTACACTTTAGGACTCGGGGTAAAGGATCAATAATGAACAGAACAATCCGGTGCCGCAGAAATGATCTGTGCCACTCCAAAAAATAGTTTGTCTGCTATAAAACAGAGAAGCATGTTACAGGCCTGACAGCCAAAGGTTCAACACTCGTCCTGTTTTCTAACAGGAAACAGCGTTTACACACACTCTCTGGAATGTTTCTGGCCTTTTCAACTGTGACATTTAGCAGAGCGCTCATTGTTCTAAAACATAAAACAAAAGAAGACCACTCACTAGCTCACTATCGATATCCCTCTCTCCCCACATCACTCTCGAAACTTTCCCCTCCTCCTGAACCAAATGTCATGTTCCATACTATTTTTCTTTATTTTGTGTATTGATCACTTTAGTAATAGTAATGATCATTTTATCACTTAGTTATATACGCACAGTGGGATCCAAAAGTTTGGGCAACCTTATTAATAGTCAGTATTTTCCTGTATAAATCGTTGGTTGTTACAATAAAAAATGTCAGTTAAATATATCATAGAGGAGACACACAGGAGTGAAATGAAGTTTGTTGGATTTATAGAAAGTGTGCAATAATTGTTTAAACAGAATCAGGCAGGTGCATAAATCTGTTGTCATTTTATTGATTCAAAACCTTCGGAACTAATTGTTGGAACTCAAATTGGCTCGGTAAGCTCAGTGACCCCTGACCTACATACACAGGTGAATCCAATAATGAGAAAGAGTATTTAAGGGGGTCAATTGTAAGTTTCCCTCCTCTTTTAAATTTCTCTGAAGAGTAGCAACATGGGGGTCTCAAAACAACTCTCAAATGACCTGGAGACAGAGATTGTTCACCATCATGGTTTAGGGGAAGGGCACAGAAAGCCGTCTCAGAGATTTAAGCCGTCTGTTTCCACAGTTAGGAACATATTGAGAAAAAGGAAGACCACAGGCTCAGTTCAAGTTAAGGCTCGAAGTGGCAGACCGAGAAAAATCTCGGATAGACAGAAGCGACGATGAGAACAGTCAGAGTCGACCCACAGACCAGCACCAAGGACCTGCAACATCATGTTGCAGCAGATGGAGTCGCTGTGCATCGTTCAACCATTCGGCGCACTTTACACAAGGAGATGCTGCATGTGAGAGTGATGCAGAGGAAGCCTTTTCTCCACCCACAGCACAAACAGTCGCTTGAGGCTCTGTTTGTGGGTGGGCGGAAAATTCCCAGGGTGGCGTTGTCGGGTTTTTGTCAAATTGTGAAGACTCTCCATTCTTCCCCACCTCGTGCTGCCACATTTAGGTGACGGCTAAGTGAAGAACAT